TTTGTTTATATATATATATATATATATATATATATATATATATATATAAAACAAAAGAATATAGGAATTGAATACCATGTATAGACTTCAGAAACACTTTATTGGAGAAAACCAATATTTCGACCTATCCTCAGGTCTTTATCAAGGTACATCAAAAAACTAGCAAAAAGTGGACACGTACATAACCACTGTAGTGGGAGGAGTTAAAGAATAAGCAATGCGGATTATAATGAGAGTAATTACAATCGGGTATACAATTATTGTAATAAACAGTTTGTAATGAGAACGGAGATTAATAGTCGTTCCCATTATGCCGACAGTATAATAAACAGACTATAGTATATTGACCAAAATTCAAAATAAAAACCGGAAATAGAGAAACATAGCATAACATTTTAGGCCACAATGGACGCAAGTATAAAATATGTAATATAATTAAAGTATAAAGTCAATGGCAAGGTAAATAAATAAAATAGTCAAACTGAATCAATATTAATGAAAAAGTATAATGAAAATGAGTGTAGCAGAGCTACATCAAGAGGATAGGAAATAAATAAACTACACGTTATAATAAAACCAGTCGATATAATTTACTAATCAGTTTGGGATTTTCTCCATTTCATCAAACTTATCTTTCTCTTTCGTTTCGTGGACGATATGAACTTTTCATGCAATGCTTCTAGTTTCTTTCCTGCATTTTCGCCTTCTTCCTTCACATCTAACCCAAGGCTATCAATTGTCTGATATATGTACGACCCACGTCTACTCTCTCTACGCGTTCCATGGTAGGAGTGTATGTCTAAATAATCATCGGCAGCACACTCCTTTTGTTCGTTTTTAGTCATAAGTGATGTGGTGGTCGCTGATCGCTGACGAAATAGATCATTTCTTCCTGTACTAGTGTAAGATTTAAGAACGACAGGGGGTGCCTTGAAACTCTTCATGATCATATAGTCAGCACTGGTGGGCCGAGGTGAGCTTGGAACCGGAGGCGGCGGAGGATCTCTGTCTGGAAATTCCTTGACATCCCAGAGATTACTCACGTTAATGTATTTGCTATCGTATGGTTTTCGTTGAGGTTTAGGCGATTCTTCCATTTCAAATGTGTACGGCGAACGAGAAATTGGTCTTCCATGAAATGTAATACTAACCTGATGCTTTCCTACTAATTTTGGTGTGAAATTTGTACTGTATGTACCAGTGTTATCATCTTCTAACAGTGGTTTGTGAATAGTGCCATTCGGGTCTTTAATTTCAATAGTAAAAGAATCCCCGCCCGTAGTACAAGGCTGCTGGTTCTTCGTGTATGCCTCTATTACTATTTCTATCCCGGTCGCGTTTTCTCGAATTCTGAACTTGGTTTCTGAAGCGACAGTTGCCGTTCCATTTATCTCGCCAAGCTTTGCTATTGACATTGGCACCTTTTTCAACATAACTTCAAAATGGCTGGACTGGAGTAATGGTAATTCTATATCTGTGAATTCTCCCAGCCCAAAGGAAATTAAACCATTTGCATCGGGTTCATCGCTCACTCTTTTAGAAATATGATCGCCTGACCTCGTTTTCAGAGACTCATTCATGAGCATCAGGTCACAATCATTGCTGAAATTCCTAGCTGCTGACAGGAATTCTGTGAACCGTGTGACGTCATTTAGTTCAGACTGAGTGTGTTCTGTATCCTCTTTTAAGATCTTTAGTGTCTTACTACCAGTATTGGACACTGTATTGAGTAGATGTTTCCGACGTTTTTCGATACTTTCCTTGAGTTTATCAAAGAATAAATTCACGTGTTGAGCAGTGAGATGGGACGATTGTTTTAGAAGTTCTTTCTCATTTTCAACGTATCTTAATCTTCTTTGCAAAATCTCGATGGTCTTTTCAGAATCTTTAACTTTATCATCAATTTTACCACGAATTGTATTAGCTTGCTCCCTAATGGACATCATCGGGTGACCATCATGATCACAGATATGACAAATAGGCGTCGCACACTCCTCACAAAAGAATTCAAGGTCCTCATCATGTTCCAGACATCTACCATCACTCGACAGACGTACACATGTTAGAATGTCGTCAGGTCTTGTATTCCGCAATGATCTGAAATCCTTTTGTCCGCTTGTCTGGAACTTGTTGTCAATAGAAACACATTCATTACAAAACAATAAAGGCCCATCAAGATCTGCGCACCAGTATGTAGCCGCATTTCCATCTGAACAGTTCTGACATTCTGGGTGTACATGTTTGGACCCAAAATCTTGACCTAATTGATCCATGATTCGATCAAATTGCTCAATGTTCTTAAGAAAGCTGATATCTGCAAGATCATCGATCGTAGTATCCCCGGAAACATCTGCTAACAGTTTACACACTGGGCAAACAAGGCTACCATTCATCATCTTTAATATGCATTTGCCACAAAAAGCATGGAGGCATTTTAGAAATTTAGGTATCTGGAAAAAATATAATATAGGCCTATCATTTGATGAATGTTAAAGAAACTATTTATATAAAGTTAGATGAAGACATTGTGTGTTGAATTCTAAATAATTTATATTATTTCCTTGTCCTGTGTCAATATAGGAGAATTATTTACATGAAGTCTGTCTCATCTATCTGAGATTTATCTAACTTTCGGTAATTTTTTTCGTCGATTTCTATAACCAAGTACAGGTTTGGCTTCAAGATTGTGTTTAGTAGAGTATATAATTTAGACCTACACAGTCATTGATTTTGTCTTTGTTGTATTATGAAACGTGATAGGCTTTGCACCTTGACGTCTGATGTCCTCAAATTTATAAGCTTTAAATTGTTTATATATTCGTCGGTAAATAAGTTTAAGCAATTTCGAAAGTTCTTTTCTAAGTTCTTTTACCATTTCTTCATTTTGTTATTAGCCATTCAATACTAACACAAACATAAATTTAGTGCTCACACACACACGTTTTAATGACAACAGTGTAATTTTAACCGTATTTTCGTACTCCCAGGCTAATCGAGCAGGAAATCTTGGTGTCTGCCCAGAACATAACGCCCGATACAGAGGTCAACCGAAAAATTACCGAAAGCGTAAACGATGTTATAATAGGCATAGACTCCCTACCTGTTTTAAAGTGTTCTTTAACTCGACACGACAATCTCCACAACGAAGTGCTTCCGTCTTGATGTGGTAGATTTCGTTTCCTTGCATTGCCATAATATCGGATTCTTCAACGAAATTCAATCAAGACTTTTGCTTCTCTATGTCTGAAGTATTAATCTCACCTCTAAGAATGTCTTGTTTTCGTGATCAATTGTAAGCCTTCAGCTTATATTAAACAATATATGACGTATTGCCTAAAAACATGTATAATGCTTCATAAAGATCTTTTGTGTTATAACTGATTTCTTGTTAGCACTTTGATTTTTATCAACCGTAAAATTACAATACTAATTTAAACAAACCACACTTGATTGATCAAATTAAATAACGCTTTACTGCTAAGGTAAATATCACGAGCCTTAAGGAAGGAGGAAGTAAAACGAAAAATATATCAATTTACAAACATAACCAGTTCAAGATAACTTTTAAATTGATAAAATATTTTGCAATGGCCAACACTTCATTTTACCATTACTGATTTTTCATTTAATGGCATTAAAATTTATTGACGTGTCACTTAACTATTAAGTTCGTTACGCTATCGGTTTTGTTTGATAATTTTTTAAACAATAAATCGGTGGTGAAATCTATTACCGCCAAAATGCAATTCATAACATTGAGTTATAAAAGTAATAACTAATGGATTAATGAAATTTAATTTACTAAAAAATATATGAACTGTATTATATACTGTATCTATCTGTAAGCTGTTTTCTCGTTCAAATTTCCTCGAACCGGGTTACCATAAGTCTTAAAGAGTAGGTAAATCAAACATTACAATTATTATTTGAATCATTTTATAGCATTATACTCAGTGACGGCGCTATTGTGAGTCAGGTGCAATTTTGTTCCTTGGACATGCATGTCGGACTTGTTGAACCCCCTGTCGGTAGATTTCTGGAGCCACCACTGATTATATTGTTGACTCAGTATGATGCTGGGAGTATTTATACCCATGAGTGGCTGGAAAGATACAAACGTAAAATGCTCCCGATCATGGGCCAACCGTTGTATACAATAATTAAATAAAAGAATAGATAAAAAGCAAATCCTTGCCGAGCCAAAGGGCTGGAGCTTATCTTCAGTTTCAGGTAGCGCGAAGCCGATGAAAGTGTGATGCTCTAAAGATAGATACATTATATATTAATTGGTCCATTAAACAAGATCAGAAAAAATATTTTCTACTTTAGGTTAAGTGTTTGAGTACTTTCCTTATCTAGCAATCTATTCTTAAATAGTAATCAAGTATATATATTTTTTTGTAATGTGAAATAGGTATATTATCAAAATATATTGTTCTATAAATCCTAGACATAAAATATTTAGTTTATAAAACTTGTTAAGCTTTTGTGATGTTACTACCAATGTTTCAATATACGAAACCATCTTTTCGGTTGTGGTTTTTCCTCGATCACAGGTTCGTATATTTCATGTAGGGCTTTTAATCTGGTCACGGCATCCGCACTATCTTCGTCAAATTGTAGGCCAAATTCATCAATCTTTTGTAGAACGTACGAGCCTCGTCTACTACTTCTACGACGAATTTCCAAATAGGCATTTATATCTTCGTTCCTTCCCTGTGCTGTTTGAATTGACAGTCTGGCTTTGTCCATTTTAACATAGCCACCACTTTCAGGACGAATGGTACTAGAAACAAGGTGTGGTGTATCATATGTGTCTGACAAAAGGCTGTCATGCCTACTTTCATGTGAACACGAGTTATCGTATGATTCTATGTCAAGTGATGAAGCGCCATGGGCTGGAAGAGCGTCTTCAGATATATCAAATATATATGGTGAACCCTTTATTGGTCGTCCAAACAGATGGACGTCAACATAATGTTTTCCCGACAAGTTTGGGACATACTTTGATGTGTATTCTCCACTGTCGTTATCGAACAAGCGTGGTCGTGCAACTTCGCCTCCTGGTTTTCTGATTTCAACAACAAATGGATCGCCACCCCGACAATAACACTGTCCATCTCCCTTAAAAGCACTGATTTTTATTTCAATTCCTGAATCTGTTTGTATAATTTCAAACGTAGAGTGCCTAGATGACACTGGCGTTTCTCTGACACTCCCCACTTGCTTAGTCATGGTTGGAATGTGAGAAATGACGTCTTGGAATCGTTTTCCAAATGGTTTGGATAATCGCAATGGAATAAGCATCCCCGGTTTAAAAGCTATAAATCCATTTATTTCAGGCTCCTCGTGTACAGCCATTGGTATAATGTTAGATAAATTTCTGTTGATTACTTCACCGGCTGTCATGATGTCACAATCTGTCCCATATCTATTTGCGGCAGATAAAAATGAAGAAAGATGTTTAAAGTCATTTAACTGACGCTGAGTTTTACTCGAGTCACCTTTCATCGATTCAGTTTTTCTACCAACAGTGTTTACAAGCTGCTCTTGTAAATGTTTTTCTTGTAGTCCTATACATCTTCGAAGCTCATCGAAGAACGCAGCCATTTGTTGCGCGGCAAGTTCAGAAGATGCCTTCAGCGAAGCTTCCTCCTGCTCTATAAACACCAACCTTCGCGTTAATGTATTCACAATCTCCTCGGAGTCTTTAATTTTGGATACGATTTTTTCACGAAACATGCATGCTTCTTCGTGTAAATTTTGAACTTGATGATTACGGTGATTACATGATTCACATATTGACGTCTGACAGTCTTGGCAAAATATATCGGAAACTTTATTGTGAATTGGACAATATATATTCTCTGATAAATGTTTCCACGCTGGTGTCTCTGAGAGTGAATGGGGATGTTCCACTAAATCAGGGTGAAGTGCCAGAGAAGCGCATTCCTTGCAAACTAAGAGGGGTTCATTAAATAATAGGCACCAATGGGTCGCAGCATTACCCTCGGTACACCGTTGGCAATTGAAGTTACCTTTAATTTGTTCTTCCTTTATTTTATTTGACATAGACTCACATTTTTCTTTGTTTCTGAGAAAGAAGACAGTTGGGATGTCGTTTATCTTCGTCTGTGGTGAGGATGCTTGACACAGCGGGCAAACTGGACATGTGTTTGGTTGATGCAATTCTAAAATATCCCACATACATCTACAACAGAACGCATGCAGACAGTCCAGATATCTAGGCTAGAAAAATGGAAATATTATATTTATATAAAGTTCTGGATAATAATGCAGGTCCCAACAAAACATACGGCATTTATCGGGCTCAACATCCTCTCTAAGGTTGCTAAAAATGTGCATTTGGTTTGCATTAAACCGACGCTTTAACGCAAACGCAAGCAACGTACTGCACTTATGCCTGTCACACCACAGTCGATTTTGCAGTGTGAACACACTTTTTGAAATTATTACGCAAATGTCTGTAATTCAATTGCAGACAAAAAGCCCGCTAGTGTGCTTTCATTAATCTGTTCTGTTTGTTTGATTTGTTAGCATTACTCGCGATATACTAGACTAGACCTATGAATTCCAATAAGGCAAGAAATATAAACAACTATATTGGCCAACCAAAGCTCGACCAATTGGTCTTTTCACAAAGATAATGCTCGACCAATATTGGTATTTTCACAAAGATATTATCTTTTCACAAAGATAAAGTTCGACCAATATTGGTCTTTTCACAAAGATATTATCTTTACACAAAAATATTATTCAATAAAAATAGAAAATGGGCAATCACTGTACGACACCGCCTTATGCAATCTAAACAGTTTTTTTCATAACAGAAATGCATTGAAGATGGTAAGTCATCTTCAAGAATATGTTATTTTATTAAGTTTAGAAATACTGTACAAATAAGTTAAAGATGTTGCGGCGTTTTTATAGGAAATATTTCTTATTTGCAATGTGGGAGTACCGTAAATGTTCAAATAAGCGCCACGGCGCTTATAACAATTTTTGGAGGCTTCATCGCGGCGCTTATTCGAGAGCGGCGCTTATAAAACAAAATATTGGCGTGGCGCTTTCCATGCTCGTTCCCATGTTACCTATAATCACGTATTCCCGTAGTTCAGTAGGCCTATCATAGGTTAAATATCATCGTAAAAAAACGTTTATAAAAAAAAATGCTTTTGTCTTCATTGTGTGATATATTCATTTTAACACTGTATACATTGTATTTAAAACTCTGCTTCAAACCTCTCTTACGCGAGTGTGTTCCTCTGTTATAAAAGAGAGAACCAATAAATCTTATCTTATCTTACACACAAGAATTATTATATACTCTCGTTTAAGCGCTGCGGCGCTTATTCGAGAGCGGCGCTTAACGAAAAAAAAATCGTTTAGTGCGGCGCTTATTGAAAAGCGGCGCTTATTCGAGCATTTACGGTAAGACTGGACTAAATCGCAGCTGCATTTGTATTTTATATTATCTTTGCCTACGTTTTAACTAAGCTGCAAGTCAGGCATACAAGGTCAGATTTTTGTCTGTCAGACAAAAGAGATAGTGTTTTATTATTATCATTATAAAATATAATATAATATTGTTTGACTTCTAAGAAATTTATTAGTTTGATGAGATAACCTCGGTTGAATAGCAGGGGTGGCGCCAGGATTTGCCCGACGTGGGGCCAAGGTCCCCGACGGGGGGGGGCGATGCCCCGTGGAGGGGTCAGATTTCCCCGACGAAAGCAAAGTGGGCGTGGTCGAGCTTCGAATAAAAGGTTTTGAAAGTGGTCCTGGGGGCGAAGCCCCCTAAACTTTAACAATTTAGGGGTTTCAAAGGCTTATTTAATCGATTTTAGAGTCTACTAATAATGTAGAAAATACATATAATTTTTTTTCTCCCCGACGAATTGTGCTTTTTCTCCCCGATGGAGGGGGGGGGGAAGCTCTCCCCGACGCGGGGGCACTGGCCCCCACCCCCCGCTGGCAACACCCCTGTGAATAGGCTTATTTTGCCATCGTTTAGTTGTTCCTAGGATAGGCTAGTGTAGTTGTCAACATCATTTTAGCATCTGTGAGTTATGATCCTGCAAACCACTGCTTGCCAGTGGTATTAAATTGCAGGACAACGGTGTGAATGTAATTGTCTCCTTTGCAATAGTCTGTTTCTGACGGTGGGTTTTTAGGTTTCTTGGTTAGACTTTAGGATTGATTTTTTTTGGTTGTTCTTTTTGCAACATATAGCGCTTAAAGACCATGTAGTACATGCCGTTTACAAGTCCCCAACCAATCATTACCATTTTCTCAAGCCCGTACCTCCTATTCCCTGTGAACATTAACGGTAATACTGTATCCATCTGGCTAGATGCCGCGTGGGCATAAGACCATTTAGATACGCTCACTTTGACCGCTTAAAGCAAGCCCGTAACCAGGGGGGTTCGTTGGGTTCGAACGAACCCCCCTTTTCATGAAGTGCCCTTTCAACAAAGGCTGGCTAGCCTACACTTTAGGCC